CTGTTCATTTGTGGGGCTTTTCCATCACACAAAACAGAGATTCTGTACTTAGGAAATCATTGCTCTATATTCCTTTCTTCTCCATCTTGAGATAACGTCTAATCTGTCTGTCCCTATGAATGAGTATGTTCTATACTAATACCATTCTATAGTATTTGTCCTTTATTTTTTAATGCCCATCTCATTTTATTTGCCACCTCTGTGAGCTTGCCTAGATTCAGGAGGAAAGGAAGGCTCCAACCCCGACTTGCAAACCCAGCGGGAGCTAGACTTCCTCTCGGCCAGGCACTGCCTCCTCTACCCTGCTCTTTCCCGGGGACTATCTCAGTCATCCTGGGAGAGGACAGTGGAGGTGTGAGCACCACCTTTGCCACTGTCCCTGTGCTGCCAGTCTACAGGCCACTGTCCTTCACTTCCTGTGCTTCTCTCCCAGGTGGAGATAGGAACGGCTGTCTTCCTCTCATGTCCCATCCGGAAGAGGAAAGCAATGTCAGTGACTTTGCCTATAGTTACAATGGCGAGACCGATTCCCTTCTTACAATGGACTTGACCTGCCCCCAACAGGCGATTCCGTTTTCTACACTGAATCTACCCTTGTTCCACCCAATGGTCCTACCACTGTTAGGTTCTTAGCTAAAAGCCCTCTGACCACCCTGCTCATCTCTCTGGCCTTCTGCCCCCTCCCCCACCCTCTCCCCCACATACACACTTCCCACAGCATGTCCTGAGAGTTTCTCTTTGGACCACTTATCTCCTACACACAAGAATCCTTGTTTTTGCCTCCATGTTTCTCCCTCAGACTAGGGTTGCGAAACTTCTCACAAAGGGCCAGATAGTGTCCTCCATGGCTTTGCAACCCAGTCTCTTCAGCCGTGATTCACTCTGCCCTGGACACTGGGAAGCAACAGCGGGCAAGGCAAGCATTTTTGGCAAAACTCTAGGTGTGGGCTCTGTGGTCTGGAGTTCAAATAACCTTAGAGTGTCACAAAGCACTGTCTACCTGTTTTTTCTTCTCTTGTACTAGGAATTGACCTTTGGGCTTCATGTACCCTAGGCAAATGTCATACCATTACGTTTTAGGTCTAGTATCCCTAGCCATTTTTTCACGTGAGCTTGTGTGCACGTAAGAGACAAAAGGGTGCTGAATCACCCAGAACTAGAGTTACAGGTGGGCTGTCTGACGTGGGTGCTAGGGACAGAACCCAGGTCCCATGGCAAGAGCAGAGTGATCTTGACTTTTGAGACATCTCCCCAGCCCCCCTCCCCTCCACGGTACATTTGTTAGCACAGCGTGGGAACACGGGGGGGGGGGGGGGGTAGTAAAAGACCCGCCTGACTTCCTCCTGTTTTGTTTTGAGATGCTATCTCACTAAGTTGTCTAGGGCAGAGTCCTGAGTAGCAGGGATTACAGTCTGGGGTCACCACACTCAGCGACATGGCTCAATGATCATTTTTACAGTTATATGTAACTTCAATTTTCAAATCATAACTTTCATCTTGGTATTCTACATCTTGCATTCTTCCCTTGGAGAGTGCGCCACACTTGACACTTGAACTGTACTTCGCTGACCTTGGACACAACCGCAACAGTAGCTCTCTCTACCTGGCTTTTCATCCTGGGAGGGAGGATTCAATAACACATCTGGCTTCCTAGACTCTCCCTTCCCTACATAGCTTCCTGAATCCCAGCGCTAGGACCATGTACTTTTCTGTGGCTTTAAGTGAATTACCCAGAATGCCCTCCAGTATGTCAACAGCACCTGCCCTGGGAGCTTCGGAAGACCAAGATTTGGCTGATACTTGCCCTGAGTTAGCTGTGTGGAAATTTTAGGGGCTTGAGTACCAGCAGCCTAGCAGGGGAGCAGGGGCCCTGGACACAGGCACACCAGGGTTTCCATCCAGCCTCGGCATTTCTAGCACGTAGGGAGGGTGACCAGCTGTCCAGCTGGCCCCAGACTGCCCTGGCTTTAGCTCTGAAGTCCAGTGACCTAGGTAGAGCTTTTGGTCTGGGGCAAACCAGGATGGCAAGTCACCCTCTTTTGACATTGTTCCCCTTATCCCTGGGTTACTCACGAGACACAATCCGTCCTGGAGTGGCCTGGGGTGGCTATCTGAGCTGCAGAGTGGCTTGGGGCACTCAGGAAGAAAAAGTCCTCTGCTCCCAACCCGCTGCCTCCAAATCAACTAATGATTAATGAAGAGGACGATGGGTACAACACAGATTCCTCACCGGAAGTGAGCCAGTCTCCTCTAGGACAACACCCCTCTACCCTCCCAGGGGAATCTAGTTTGTCTCTTTGGGTTTGCGCAATGAGTAGAGGTTTTCCTAGGAAAGACCTTGAGAGAATCTGGTCTTCACCTGGCCTTCCATGTGCTTCATGAATTATAAACCCACCTTTTCCGGGCTTCAGCTGGCTGACTCCCACCTCAAAAATAAAGGATCACACTAGAACATGGGCAGCGAACATCATGAGCCACATGAGAACATTCTCAGTGTCACTGTGAGGAATGGTGGGCATGTGTCCCTGGAGAGAGCCAGTTCTCATAGGTCAGACGCCATCAATTGAGCGTGAGAGACTGCCCAGGGCCTCCCGGTTCCAGCCCCACTGTAGTTTGTGAGACTGGACCCCCTGAGATGTTATATGTGGGGCCCTAAGGACAGTACATCTAGTACAACCGATGAGATCTGTGTAATGGGGGTAGGTCAAGTGCAGCCCTGGGCTGGCAGCAGGGGTCCAGCACATGAACACCAGGATAAGGCGAGAAGTGTGTCTCGCTGATGTTTTTCCTATTGCTCACCTCCCCACTCCCCCAAGGAGGGCGTTTCTTATCAGACAAAGGGGACACAAAAACCAAGAAGCTGTCAACTCAGACACCAGTCAGGCCCCACCCTGTGCCCCAAGATTGGAGCAGTGTCTTTCCTGGCACCTGCCACATCTCTTTCTCTTAGGACACACAGCATGTCCCCACTGTGAGCACACATTGGCTGCCCTTTGGCTCCTGACGCCTGCCTCTGGCATCGGGGTTTGGGGGTGGGGTGGGGGCAATGAGTCATGAAGGAGCTTCCAATGTGGGCCTGATAGCTGTTTCATCAGCTCATAGTAAGCACTTGGGGATCAGTTCAATGACTCAGCCTCAGGGGTGGGGTGACTCTTGCACCCTCAGGTGAGCCTAGAACTTATCCTGGGTCTTTGTGTGAAAAGGGAGATTTGAGGTACGGGAAGCTCACCTGGCTCTCCACACTTCTTAGTTTTTAATTAATTAATTAATTAGGGGATCAAAGGACAACTCTGTGGAGTCAGTTATCTCTCCACCCTAATGAGGGTTCCAGGGAATGAGGGTTCCAGGGAATGAGGGTTCCAGGGAATGAGGGTTCCAGGGAATGAGGGTTCCAGGGAATGAGGGTTCCAGGAAATGAGGGTTCCAGGAAATGAGGGTTCCAGGGATCAAACTCGGGTCTCTGGGCTCACACAGCAAGCACCTCTGTAGCAGGAATCTTAAAAGTTCTTATTAATAAAATCAGACCTGAGGCCAGTTATTGGGGTGAATGCTGGAAGATCAGAGATGCAGAACAAGCCACAGCTAACCTCACCTGGCCAACTTCTCAGCTGATCTTGTTTCCTCAGACTGGAAACCTCTGTGTCCTCATATCCGAATGGCTCTCAGCTGAACGGCTGCTCAAAACCTAAAAGCTTAACCAGCCAAATGCTTAACCAGGCCAAATGCTTCTAGCTTCTGGTCCTCACGCCTTATATACCCTTCTGCTTTCTGCCTCACTCCCCGGGGATTAAAGGCAAGAGTCACCATGCTTGGCTGTATCCTTGAACAGATGGATTTCTGCCTCTGGAATGCTAGGATTAAAGGCACGTGCTATCACTGCCTATCCTAAGTATCTAGTGGCTGTTCTGTTCTCTGACCCCAGATAAGTTTATTAGGGTGCACAATATTTTGGGGAACACAATACTACCACACACCTCTACCTGCTGAGCCCTCTTGCAGGCCCCTTTGCTCTTCCTACAGAAAGGGATAGAAGTTGCCAAGCCTGGACACAGAGAAGATAGATCCCTGGCCTCACCACAGAAGGCCCATCCTCTGCAAGCAGAGCCTTCCCTGCAGAGTCAGGGAAGAGAAGCCTTCTGCAACAGGCTGCCTGCCCTCCTGCATTTGGCACCTGAGAATTCTCAGTATTGAGGGGAAGGAAGTTGTGTGTTCTGCTTGACAGAAACAGCGAGTTGAGCAAGCGCCGTCCTGAAACGGAACCCTGCCCTGTGCTTACGCTGGCACGTGGCACCGGGTTAGATCACAGGCTCTGGAGCCGGCTCTATGGAGCAGCAGTTCCTGAGGAAGGAGCTTGAGAGCTTGCAGGGTGGGAATGAAGTGCCAAACACAAGAGGAGCAGAGTGGTGGGAGAGCCATGAGAGTGCCGTGGCTCTGGTCTTGCCGGCAGTGGGCTCGTGTGGCTGCTCTCCTTAGGTGTGGCTGATGCTCCATGCTGAAGAAAGGGCACAGCTGGGACGCATGGCAAGTCAGTAGCTAAGACAGCTGGACCAGACATCCAAGGAAAGCTAGGGAGACTAGAGAAGACACAGCCGCAGCTTCACTAGAAGCTATAGCTCCTGTTGTCATGGAAACCTTCTGACTAAGATAGATGGATGGATAGATAGATAGATAGATAGATAGATAGATAGATAGATAGATAGATAGATAGATAGATAGATAGATAGATAGATAGATAGATAGATAGATGGATGGATAAATAAATAAATAAGTAAATGAATGAATGAATAAGTAAATGAATGCATAAATAAATGAATGAATGAATAAACAAACAAACAAGCAAACAAAAAGAGCCATAGTCCCTCTTCCTCACACTGCAGCACTATGGAACACTGGACAGAGACAGGACAGGCTGGGAGAGAAAAAAAACAGGCCACCAGCCTCCCACGGGTGTATGAGTGGGAAGCCAGGGAACAGATAAGCTGGGCATTCCATGTCAGCTGGAATAATGGGCCTCACCCCAGAGGTGGCGAGGTCAGCTGTCCCTGAAGGTACTTTGACCGTATTAGGTTTACAAGTCAAACAAACCACCCAAAGAATGGCACGCAGCTCATAGGGCAGGCTCCGTGGGCAGGAGCAGCGACTGCAACAGCCTTTGTGGAAGGCAAGATGTGTTCTCAGCCAAGCGGGCTAGCACCACCTGACAGCCTCCCTGCCCTTGTCAGACCAGCCCCAGCACCAGGGGTCCTGGCAGCCCTGAGAGTATAGTGAGACTCCTCTGAAGGGACTTGAGCAGGAAGCCTGGCAGCGGGAAGATGGATACTCCCCAGCCTCCAAGTCTGAGAGCCTGGCTCAGAGGACCCAAGGGAAGGTGTCAGGAGGCCGAGGTTTCAAATGTACATTTATCATGGATCTCTCTCTCTCTCTCTCTCTCTCTCTCTCTCTCTCTCTCTCTCTCTCTCTCTTCCTCCTTCCATAAAAGCACCTTTTTTGACAACTGGGAGGAGACCATCAGGATCAGGCCTGTTGACATGATATTCTCTCCTAGAAGAAGACAGTGGGAGGGTCACTGGAGGCTTGCCTGAGATCCTGGCCTTGCTATCCTGCACTTCAGTCAGTTGCAAGCTTCTACCCTTGCTGCACGGGACTTCGTGGTCTCCAGCAGTGACCCCCTCCAGTCAACTGAAGGGGGCGCTCTGCTCCCTCTGTGCAGCTACGGGGAAGCTGCCATCCGCGCACATGTCTGCTTTACATTTCCCCAGAAAAAAAAAAAGAGTCCCCACAATACTGTCTCAGAGCCGGGTTGTTGCAATGACGATAAGGCAATCGCAGGAGCTCGTGGAAACCATATTGTATGCTTCCTGGGGGGATCTGAACTCAGCTCCTCACTGCCCAGAATTCGGCGAGTGCCAGGGCTGTGTTCCTGCGAGGCGAAGTGTGCTGTAAATCTTTATGGGAAGTATGAACTCTGTGTACCACTGGATTGGACAGGAACGCTTTTGGCGTATCTGCTCCTTGTGTGTTTGTGTATTTGTTTAGAAACTGCAAGTTCACCTGACAGATGGACATCATTCATCAGCACATGTGGAAAAAGGATGTCAGAGGAGGAAGGAGCTATCGCAGACTGGGGGAGGCCAGCTCCCGGAATTGCTCCAAGGTCGTGAATAGAAGACCTCAGAGTAGCTAGGGGTTAGGAATAAATTCTTTTCTATCTAGAGGCTAGACTTTTTTTTTTTAATCTGAGGGTATTTAAAAATAAGTTTCTATCTATCTGATGGGTAAAATAAGGAAACACACATGCTTTCTGATAGTAACTTACTCTTTTACTTCATCTAGAAAAATCTTTCTCTGAAAATCTCTCTGTCTACATAAATACATTCCACATTGTTACATTCTCCGTAAACTCCCCATATACCTCTTTTGCACAGTTACATCTACGTATTTCTTCTCTCTGTTCTCTTACATTCCTTCACATATTATTACATCATGTATTCACTCTTTACTCACTCATTCTCACATTTATTCACTCTCTCATCTTATTCTCATTCTTCTTCTCTGCCCAGCTTTAAACAATTATGTGTTACATTTTCTCTCTGCCCATTTAGCTACCTCCCTCACTCAGCACGCACACCTACACACACTCACACGTTCACTCCTACCCTTTGCCCAGCTCTTAAACTGCTCCTTCATATAATTTACCCTCATTCATTCTCTCACATTTATTTCACCTCCCCTAACTCTTCTTCTTCATCTCTCACTCAGCACACACACACACACACACACACACACACACACACACACACACACACACTTCACTCACATTCTTCAGCAGCTCTCACATTGCTTTACACAGCCATCTCTCTCCATACCACATCTGCTCTCTCACAGCCAAACTCTGGACAATTATAAGTCATATTTTCAGGACCCTACTCATTCTCATAACACAAGATAAGTCACATAGTTTCTCTTAGGCTAGTAATGTCACACTGACTCATGCATGTAGCTCTCAGTTGGTGAGAGATCCCAGACAGTAATTGGCTGAATCTTGAGCAGTCAGGGTATGTGCAGAAAGAGAATTACTTCAGGGAGCTATATCTCAGTGTAAACAGTCTGGCCTTGATTTAGCAATAAACAACACTTGGGAATTAATCTTTATGTATTTTCTGCGGGGACAGCTAGTCTGTTTTAAATCTTCTCTGAAGTCCAAAGTTAGCTGTCCATGTAAAAGGCCGTCTTTATGACTGAGAATCCTATGCCAGCCTGAATAATGTAAAACATCCTAATATTATTTCTATACATCAAAATTATAAGCCTAAGCACACATCATCTTCCTAAACATCCACAGCTATATGTGTGCCAAATAAGTGTAAGGCATACCACCGAAAGGCTGTGGAAAGAACCCCACAGCTGTTTTTATTAGAGACATAGCAGTGACCCCCTAGAAAGTTATAGACAGAAAACAACCAGTCATTCATAGTCAATAACCCCACGGCTTTGCCAAGTGGGGCCCCCCAGCAGGGAATCATGTGTCTGATGGGTCAACCTGTTAAACACTAGTTGTCACTGCTGTACATTCCCATAGCCCCTGGGTCGGTACCTAAACATCACATCCGGTGTCAGCAGTCACCTAGATACAGCAGGTGCTACCGACCCTGATACTGTGCAGACAACGGCTTTGTTGCTGTCATGGAAACTGCATTCTCCTGGCCACCTTAGATGGGACTCCACTCCTGCTGCAAGGTATAGATGAAACCCCACTCTAGTGTACCCAACCCAAAGACAACTCCAGAAGCAACCTCCATCCTTCAAGGAAGTCAGACATTTAGATTTTAAAAAATTAGCTATCCCAGTTTCTAATCATAGGCCCCTAATTCCAATGACTTAACCACTGTGTATGCCAGACAGTGCTGGTTTGAATGGGTTTGGCTAGGAGAACATGAAGTTCTTCTCTCTCAGATATGTACTCTGTGTGTGGGACAATCCAAATGAAATCGGAGAGGATCAGGGCAGCTATTTACAAAGGAGAAAGTTGGTGAACTTACCCTATGTAAATTCAAGACTCACTCAGGGCACATCAAACAGCCACATCCAAAAGCATGGGGTGAGGGTTGGGGTGGGGAAAGGCTGAGCGCACAGAGGGCGTGTTAACAAGCTACAAGGTACGGCAGCACCAGTTGCTTCTGAGCGTCCATCCAGGAGACCATGGTCAAAAGACTTATTCTCACTATTCGTGCAGGAAATGGATGTCATGCCCCTGAGAGTCAGCCTCTCTCCCTTCACTGCCATCACTATGTGTAAGGAAGCCTGCAGCTTTCCAAGCAGGACCACACTAGCCCCCAAGCCTGTGTTCTTCTCTGACTTGACTCTTGTGCTGAGCACACACACACACGCACACGCACACGCACACGCACACACACACACACACACACACACACACACACACACACGGACCTCACATTCGTATTTTCCCGTCCATTTGGAGGTCCATCTTCTAGACAGCAATTTGCATGTGAGGGATTGCAGACCGCAAGACAGAAAGAGGATGGCGTCCAGCAGGGGGCAGCAGCGTGCTTTTGGGCTCTCTGCCGAAGCCGGTCTCTCCCTGTGTCTTTCCTGACTTAATCTCAAAATCTCACAAAGTTGCTGGGCCTGAGTGGCTCCTGAAAGCCACGAGTAAACGGTTTTCAAGATGACCTTTGTAACTTGGGGACTTCTCTGGTTTCTACAGTTGGGGAGAAACATTATAGGCTTCTCATAAGGAGAAACCAGTGGTGCTGTTGAATGTCTGGGATGCAGAGGATAGTTATCTCTTATGGTAAAAATGATCCAGATGTTGGCAAAGCCCAGGCTGGGAAATCTGTGTTCACAGATGGGTAAACTGAGAACACAAAACGCAGCTTTACTGTGTGCTGTTCCCCAGTCTGGCCACATGGTGTGACTGTGGGCCAGGGAGAAGGGCTTTATGATTTCTCTGCATACCATGCTGTAAGTAGAAAGCCTTGTGAGGGAGCCTTCCTGTTACAGGCTGCCTTTTGTTTCAATCCTGCTGTGTGGCAGCCACAGGAGTGAGAAAAACAGGGTGAAGGAATGGCCTGGGCTGAGAGAGAAAGAGGCAGGGGAGAAGGTTAAAGCAGGGCAGACGCCCATGGGCTATTCCCAAGATGTGTGACTTCTCCCTCCACCTCCTTCATCCCTCACCCAGTAGGAGACTCTGGGGGGGCCAGGATGCAAGCTCCGTGGGCTTGGGGATAGTTATAGCCATAAAGGTTCTCACACACATCAAGTGTTCAGATGTAGCTGACAACTTTAGAACTGATAGTATTATGAAGTCTTAAATATGTCACAGATCTCCCCAGGAAGAAACTCATGCTTGGTTCTGTAAAACCAGTCAAGAGACTAGGGCTGGGGAAGTCATGGGCCCTAGAGGGGACCCTGCTACCATTGTTTTGCTAAAGGGCATGTTGTCAAACTGTCCCGGATACCATGGTTATGGCCACAGATAAGAGCAGGGCACAATCTTCATCGGAGAAACCTCCTACTGTATCGGGAAGCCGTTGATGTAGAAACGTAAGTGACAGAGGATGCTTGGTGATAACTTGGACATCTATCACCCTCCCCCAGGCTCTGGGAACACTGAGGAAGAGAAGGTGTAAGGGATATAAGAACCCAAGGATGAGGAGACAGGCAGCAAAAGTGTTCCTGATCTTGGTGCAGCCATCACACTCATATCTGCACAAGACCTGCCTACGACTGGACCCCTCAACATCTCACCAAGGATAGGGAAGGAGTTATAGGGACTATTGGCAATTAATAGTTATTAGGAGGTGGGGTGTCATTTTCTTCAGTGATGTAGCCGCTGGCAAGTGGTCCTTGGTTCCAGCAAAGACCTCTCACCCACGCTCAGCAAGAAACTCTAATTAAGCCAGCATGGTGGTGCACACCTTTAATGCCAGCATTCAGGAGCCAGAGACAGGGGGATCTCTGGGTTTGAGGCCAGCCAGGTCTACAGAGTGAGTTCCAGGACAGCCAGGGCTACTCAGAGAAACCCTGTCTCAAGGAAACAAAATCCAAAAATGAAAACAATAAAAATAAAAGAAACTCTAGTCAAACTCAGAAGGTCATCACATCGCACAGAAGAAGACATGAAAATATGGATGAGGGACTCTCGTTGAGAAGAATCCCATCCAGAGAGAAAAAGGAATGAGAAGGAAAACAGGGAATGAAAAGACTACACTTCATTATGTAAATGTATGAAGCCTTCAAACAATTAAAATAAACAAATGAACACATAGAGGAATGGCATTGCTAATTTGGAGGTCTCAACCTAATGCCCCACCTCCCGTTCCCCTGGGCACAGTTTCTAGTCTTATCAAAATCGTATCGTGGGCCTCAAAGGCTGGGGCCCGGGCTTCCTTCTTACAGACAAAGAAAGCCATGAAGCAGGGTAGTGGGGACACTCAGCTGACAGGTGGTGACACTGGAGGAATGTGAGCTGTTTTCCATCCCAAAGCCTGGGCTCTGAATTCTAGCCCCGCTTTCCCAAGAAAGAAAGTGGGTACCATGGGCTGTTTGAGTGACACAAAGTCCTTGGGTGACACACATTCATGTCCCCAGCTTCTGCCCAGGGTCATCCATCCCACCACTTTCATTCCCAGAGATGGTGAAAGAGTTGACAGACCATGCCTTGCCTAGACTGACTCCATGACTCCATGCTGCCAGCAAAGATTGGAGAAAAGGGAACCAGAGATTGTGGACCATCAACCCTCTGTGTGTTCCCCTTCGGATCTTCTGCTTAGCATGCCTCTAGAGGGCCAAGGCAGAAATACCTCCGTGTCCCAAGGTCATGCTTTATGGCATGCACATGTCATGTCCTCCTCCATATAAATACTTCTTGTAATACTAGTTTTTTTCTTTTATCTGATCTTCATGTTCTGTGTTCCTAGATCAATGGTGATTTCTGTGATACAGGAAAGGGGGGTTAAGGCAGTTATGCAGCTCATAGGAAAGAACCTGCAGCCTAGGGAAGCTTTTCGGGCTTGGATAAACTGTACCAAATGTGTGGTCAACTATAGCACATGGTATGATGTGTATCAACACACTGGACTCAAATTGATGAATGATGAATAATTCAGTTTCTGAGGATATTCCAAGGGCATTGTGTAATACTTGAGACCCTAAGGGGTATTGGCTGAAGACTGTGGACGGAGTAACACAT